ATAACGCTTGTGACATCAAGAGTCAGATAGCATCCAGGCCACGTTTGACTCACAGAGGAAGGCCTGACAAAGACAGTTTACATCTCCATGTCATGGCATCCTAATCCTCCTCGAATGCTTCATGTCTTGCCATCTGCCAACATTCTATCTACACCTCAGAGACACCCACACACACGTGAAGCTGGGGCTGAAGGAAAAGTGGAAAAGAAGGAATCTTATGAGGTGACTGTATTAGTAACTATGGGCTGTCCCTTATTCCAAGATACTCAGTTTTTTACTTTCTTCTAACATGCTAAACGACAGCCTAGCTTCACTAGCTGTGTGTCAACTTTGGCGATAAAATATAGACCATAACTCAAATTGGTGCATAAACTAAGGGAAACATAACCACTTGTGTAGCAAAGCGGTTCCTGGGTAATTCTATTTTCAGGAGGCTGAGTTCACTGTGGAGTGTGCAGGTATGTCAGAGGTCTATCCACATCTCTTTGGTCTGACCTTTTGAGGTTTATTTTAGTCAGCTTGACTTTCTTACGTTACTTTTTCAACAGTTGTTGAAATGGTTTCTCAGAACTGCATACCTTCATTTTTTTTATTTTTTTTTACAATTAAAGTTACAGTTTTAACAATATGCAAAATATTACAGTAATTCAGATTTTTTTGGCATAATGATTACAGATTTGATAAATACATTTTATATCTCATAATATCGGGGGGGGGGGTTGGATGGAAGGGGGAATGTGGCTTAGGGAGTCCCAGCGCGGAGAGCTGCGCTGTGGACTTACCCCAAGAGGCCTGAGGATAGTCAACTTAGAAATCTTTTTATTTTTAATAAATCTAATGATTTTTTAAATGTCTTCAAGGAAGCTTTAGACAATTAAATTCAACATGATGAGTCATAACATAGTAGGAACAGCATTCTTAGACTATTGATTAAATTCTGATTCTCTCCACGGGCATAAAAGAGGACTCTTTCCGATGAGATTGCTATACAACTTAGAAATCTTTTTATTTTTAATAAATCTAATGATTTTTTAAATGTCTTCAAGGAAGCTTTAGACAATTAAATTCAACATGATGAGTCATAACATAGTAGGAACAGCATTCTTAGACTATTGATTAAATTCTGATTCTCTCCACGGGCATAAAAGAGGACTCTTTCCGATGAGATTGCTATTTGTTAAGTATTTCTAAGTATATACCAAAGAATGAAATTTCTTCTTAGAGAAGCTTGGGAAAAAAGGCCTGGGGAATATAAATCTGCTTCCTTAAAGAAAACAACAAAAATCCATGCTTCAGGGCCAGTGAGATGGCTCAGTGGGTAAAGGTGCTTGCTATGCAAGCCTGACAACCTGAGTTCAATCCCCAGAAACCACATAAAAGTAGAAGGAAAGAAAATAATAATAATAAATAAAAATAAACTTTTAAAATTAAAACAAATTTTAAATCATACTTCAGCATGCCTGGACTTGAGATAAATCATTCACCTGCAACTTTTCTGGACTTGAAGGCAAAGTGTTTCTGAGGCTGTTTCCTGGTTCAGGCTTCCTTTCCCTCCCTCACCAGAGGGCGTATAAACACACCAAAGGAAGTGAGGAGGAACACAGACTCAGGTCTGCATAGATTTTCTGTAAAGTCCAGTAATTATCAAAGATTTGGAAGAAATACATTTGAATAAAGCATTGATACAATTTGTCCAAATCCAAAAGAGGAGGGACTTTTGCACACACATGCCAATAATAGCAGTGTTAGGTAGCATTGCTCCTGAGAGTTAAACATGGACACTGATTCTACCAAAAACACTTTTTACGCTGACTTTGTGTTCCCTGATCTCATAATATTTATTGCTCTGAAATCTAATGTCAAAACACTTTCACTTGGGTTCTCTGTACATGGCACATTTGCTAGGGCCTCTCACAGTGAAAACAGTCACAACTGACAATGAGGCAGCCAGATAATGTTGATTTTAAATTAACATTTACCAGAGGTCAGAAGGTAACTTTATCAAATTCTAAACTGAAAATGAAAACAACACCGGAAAAAACTACTGCCGTGACCCTCTGGTGTGCACCACTGGACCATCCGGTACATACCACTTCCTTAATTATGATTTTGACAGGCTGAACATTTTTAAAATTTCCATTAGTGAAGGAAAGAGTCTACTCACAGATGCACAAGACTATGAGAAAAAGCAGGTATGTGACCAGTTCCCGTAAAACACTCTTAAGGTATTTCTCTCGGTTAGTGCTGCTCTCCTCCATGAGTCTCGTTCCCCAGAGACCTTTAAAATAAGAAAAAAAAAAATCTTAAGAAATTTCATGAATGGCACAAAGAAAAAAAAACCCATGAAATAAACAATATAACCAGTTCTCATGTATAAATATGAATATTTATATACAAATGAAAAAATGTATGCAGAGTATAACTGAGAAACTGATTTAGCAGGACAACCCTTAATTTCAGTACACATCAGGTTCCACCCTCCCCAAGTACAAAATCCACAGCAATGATGCAATCACTTTCCTAACTTTCAGGACCATTAGCAAATATGTTTAAAATTTTAGAAGGACAGGAAATGAAGGCAAGAGTCTATTTTAGGAGAAAGGGACCTTTTTGCATTCTAAAAGGGGAAAAATGGCTGTAACTACAAATAGGAAAAGTGACTGTCGTGTAGCAACCACTTCCCACGTTTATGAGCTGGCAGGCTAAGAGTAACATAAGGTGCACACTGCACAGATGGCTAAGATCCACATGCCCAAAAAGAAGACTTGTTTTTACTCCTCTAGAAACTTCTTCCTATTTAAGCAGGTGGGTGTGACTACGCTGCTACATCATGGGTGCACACTGAAAAGTCCTGGTTATTGCAACTTTTAAATTTGGAAACCTCTGTAAAGCTCTTTGCACAGTGGCAGAGAAGCTGCTCTGAGCTCATCTTTGTCCTATAAGAAACATAATCACGACTGTCTGCACTAGCCTGTTTACGCTTCACAGATTTTTAAAGTGCCAATGAATATGGTTTTTAAATTAAACAGCTCATCCTGCTTCTCTGTCTCTCTTTGGGGAAAAAGTAAGATCAGCAACCACACTCTGTATTTCAGCAGATGGAAAAAGTGTTGGGCTGGTGATGTGAAGATGACATAAGCCTCTACAGGCTTGCTGGAGAGTTACCACAGTTTTGGATTCAGTCAGCAGACAGACGTGGTGGCCGTCCAAACCCCTGTTAATGAACAGTGTGGTCAAGTCACATTGCTGGCTCCCTGGAAGAACCTTAGTATCTTCCAAAAACAGACTAATTTCTCAATCCTTTCAGTCAGACTGGGTTGGCTGTTAACAAACACCAGCCACCAACCTGGCTCCACATGATGTCTCTCACTCTTTTCTACAAACCTTACTTCCTTTAATAACCGAAACTCAGAACATACTTAAGTCATTAACCACCACATAGAAAAGGGAAAAAGTAGTATTAATTCTTTCATTTTGAAGAATAAATGATTTCATTATCAGTGTTTATATAATTTTTAGGTTTTACAAAAATATAATAGTTCTACCATTCAATTCGACTGTTCGATTTCCTTTTCTTCCTTTGTTCCAAATTTCCTTAAAATACCAGTGTCGGAATTCAAAGAGACTGTGTTACACATCATCGATTTCACCACTCTAAAAGGAGAGCATAACTTATGACCAGGTTTGCTGCTGCCAAGATCTGGTAGTTGTCAGGGAATGACTCACTCAGAAGAAATGCAGCAAGCATAATGTTTGCTCATTGAAACTCAATCATATTAGAAAATTATTACAAATTTAGATGACATGGAAAATTACAAGTCAGGATAATACAGCAGCAGCCAAGGATTAGGCTCAGTAGCCTTGGATGAAACCACAAATATCTTTGGGTAGATTTCTTTTGGGGGGCAGGCCTAAAATATACATATAGAGACTATTAGTTTCTTTTCCATCAAGAAAGACTTCTGTGTGTCCTATTTGTTAGTGATTTTATTCTTCCAATGATTAGTGGATAACCATGGACTAGGGAATAGACACAATTTCATACAAATGGCATTCTTTGACCTTTAAATAGAAAAAAAAAAGAAACAAAAACTTATGTCAGATTTTTTTCAAGATAAACTTACAATGGACTATGACTATTTAATTCTAGCCTTTGAATGAGACATTTCAAATGAAAAGAAACACTCCTCCTTGTCCTATTTGTATATACTATTATGTATTTACTTTTTCTGAATTACCCTACCTACCTCCTTAAATATTCACAGGCTTTAAAAATGTCATTCCATTTTCCCACTGGCTGTGTATTAAGTCTATTTTAGGAGACAGGGACCTCTTGCATTCTGAAAGGGGAAAAATGGCTGTAACCACAAATAGGAAAAATGACTGTCCTGTATCAACCACTTCCCAGGTTTATGAGCTGGCAGGCTAAGAGTAACATGAGGTGCACACTGCACAGATGGCTAAAATCCACATGCCCAAAAAGACTTGTTTGTATTCCTCTAGAAACTTCTTCCTGTTCAAGCAAATGGAATCAAAACAGAAACTTGGACTTCATCTCAAAGTAGGCCCTCTCCTTACCCTTCAATTCTTTGTCTTTGTCTTACTACGTAGCTCAGGCTGGCCTTGAACTTGCAATGATTCCTCTCCCTCTGCCTCCTGAGTGCCCAGGATACAGGCATGTAGCACCACTCTGAGCCTGATTCTGTAACTCTGCCTCTTCCATCCTAGCCCATATGCCTAGCTGAGGTCCTGTTCACCCTTTGTCTTGCTCAGTCCTCTCCTGTCTATCCCCTCACTCTGTGCTCTACAGTCTTCAGCCTGACTGATATATTTAGCCTTGTCTGAAGCTTCTGTAGCTCTAAATGCCTCCAGGAAAATATGCCAATTCCCTAATGTGGGATTTGGGTTTGCTTGGGTCTTATTCCTGCTATTTTTCGCTGCCTGAATCCCACCCTGTCTTTAAAATGCTCATGTTTGACTTTGTCTGGAATCCTTCACTGACTTCCTCAGGAAGAACTGGCATTAACTCTTCCTTGAGTTCCTCCAAAACCCAAGACCTGGTACTGTAATTACTTACTTTCATCTGTGTCCCCTACTAAACTCTGAAGGCTACATGAATTCTGTTATCGTAACTTTATCAAACCTAACAAACTCTAAAGGGTAGAGATGCTCTCTTTCAAGAATCTCCACAGCAATGAAAAAAAAAAAAAAAATCTAGTTTGTTCAAAATTTTGGTGCACAGGAAAAGAAGTCACAGAATGAAGTTGGGATTGATCAAACCACCTTCTATGCATGTATGAAATTCTCAATAATTTTAAAAAATTAAGGGAAAGTCTCTTTTTATGTTCATGTGTGGGTGTGTGCATACATGTGGAGGCCAGAGGACAACCTCAGTGTCGCTGCTCAGGTACTGTCCACCTTTGTTTTTGACACAGGGTCTCTCACTGGTCTAGAACTTGCCAAGTAGTCTAGGCTAACTGGCCAGATCCACCTCTTTTGGCTTCCTCAGTGATGGGATTACAAGCACATGCCACCACACCTGGCTTTTTAAATATGGGTTCTAGGGATTAAACTCAGGTCCTTGTTCAATTGAACTATCTGCCCAGCCCAAGGGAAAGTTTCAGTAGCCGTGTGTGAAGGGCAAACAAAAAAATGAGGAAAAAAAAGGCAAAGGACCCCTTTCTCATTGGATTGTGTGGGGTATTTTTCTTTTGCGCTTGGGCTGGAAGCCATGATCAGCCCTTGAGGATCCTGGTTAATGCTGCTGTGACCTGGGGAGCCTGTTTCCTGCCTCAGACATCTTTGGAGGCTGGGAGTCTTCTGACTACAGTCTGAGCCAAATTAGATTACAGCCTTCAGTGACAGTACTAGGTACGACCAAGTACCACCTAGTACATGGCTACTCTTGGGTACCACCAGGCTCTGGAGAATTAGAACTGGCCTATGTGGTTCCCACATGCATTACATAACATATCCCCATCCTCCATGAGATTATGGACCATAATGACATCTGTTAGTAAAAGGAGATTGACAGTCCTCTATCTCTTATAAACCATGACTATGGTTCCCATGGAGGTTACCGGGAAAGGAATGTCTAGAGTAGAAACTGTTGTAGAAGGGAAAAGTGAACACTCAAGAGAATGGGCATCTGAGTCTGGCCGTCTGGGAGGGCTTGGCCATCAGCTCACAGCTGTAGCTCTGAGCAGGGTTCTGCATAGGATTGCCTGGGAAGGTAGCGAGGAAGACCTGGGAGTGGATGCTGGAGGAAGAGTACCACAGGTGCCAGGGTGAGGGGGTGATAGGGACGCCACACTCAATAGACGGGCTGCAAGCACCAAGTCTGGTTTCAGGGAAGTCAGCTCCTGGCCAGGACTTGCCTTTGGAGAGTTTTCTATATTGACATGCTTACTTTGTTGACTGTGGTGTTATTACATCTGCCATCCTAGCACCTACCCCTGGAGGAATGAGGCAGGAGGATGGAAAGTTTCAAGGCAGCTTGCATTGTGAGATCCTGTCTCAAAGAACCAAGATGAAAACAACAAAAACATGTCCATCAACTAAGGAAAGATAAAGAAGATATAGTGTATACTTACAATAGACTACAATCCAGTCATCTAAAGGAATGTAGTTTCGGTGCATGCTGTTGCACAGAGGAAGCTTGAGAGCATGCTAAGAGAAATAAGCCAGACACAAAGGGCCAAATACTGACCTCACTTATGCAGTGGGTTTATTTGGGATGATGAAAAAGTTCTAAAAATAACTGAGTTAAGTAAAGCCACACTGTTATATATGTATTTAATACCATTATTATATAGTTACAGTAGTTAAAACAGCAAATTTCATTACATATACTTTAGTGCAATTTTAAAAAATAAGACAGTAGACTCCCCAAATCTAGATAAATGAGAAATTTGGATACACAGACCATGCTGATATGATTAATCATGAATGGCCAGGTGAATCAATATTTATAAAGTAGGAGAATATTAAAATTGGCTGGCCAAGTTAGGCCTGGGCACTACAGGTATTTGGCATGGTAGGCTAAAACAGCATTGGACTCTGATGCTTGTATTAAGCCCTGATCCCAACATTGAATACTTGTTACCCTGGGCAAGTCATTTAAGTTTCCTCACCAGTAAGATGGTGGTGGTAATAGATCTTACCTTGCAGGGGACAGCTTAAGGAAAAAATAAAATTATGTTCAAAGTAAAGGCTTCAACAGTGCTGGACACAGTGAGCAATGCAGTCTTATTTAATCCTTAGGGCAAGGTTTCTCTCTACACTCCTGATTTTTTGGGTTGGAAAATGTACTGTAGTGGAAGAGGCTGTCCTGTACACGATAAGATATTAGTAGCATCCTTGCCTTACACCCAGTATATGCCAGGGGCATCGTTCCTCCCACCTGGGGATTGTGAAAACCTAAAATGTGTTCAGACATGGATGAATATTCCATAAGAGGCAAAACGTCCCCTACTTCTAATTGAAAACTTTCTCTTAGGATAATGCTGTGCTGGTGGTGATGAAGTAAGACCGAGTTCTCAAGCTTCAAAGCAGGACAAATGAATCAATCACTGCACTACTGTGTGGTACCATCGACTATTGAAAAGCTCATACTGGTCACAAGCCTCAGTAACCTTTCCAATAACTGAGTATGTGCCTCTGTAGACATCAAAAAGGAAGGTAGGAGAAATGCAAGTTAAATATGGTGAGACAAAATGATGATGACCACTTATCAAACAGCACATTTCAGTGAAAAGGTCTGATTATCTCAGGAAAAATAAGAGCAAACTGATTACTTCATTTCAGCCTTAATAATATGTGACAGAGATTGCTCTGCCAACAAAAATCCATTTCCCCTTTCTGGACATGGGGATATACTGTATTTTGGTCATATGATTAAGGATTTGCCAATGAAGCATGAATACGTGATGGGGTCATTTCTAAGATAATGCCTGGGGCACATCAAATCAGTCAGCTATCCTTTGCTTCCTCTGGTCCAGGTTTTCTGTACCTCTTCACTGACAACCTGTTCATATCACACCTGCCTGGCTGGTGGCTCCCTGCTGCAGTGTATACCTCAGACAGCCAGCTATCCAGGACACCACGCTACAGACTCCTATTCCCTGTCAGCATGCTCTGTTCTAGCTCAGAAGCCTTCAACTGCTTCTTAATTTCTCCACTAGATGTAATGAACAGGCCTCAGTTCTTTCCTGACTATCCTACTGCTGCTCAGAAGAGAAGTCTGTCTACTGTCGGATGACCAGGACACACCATTTCCTGTCCATCTGCTATTCATGCCATGAAACAACAGCCAGAGTAAGCTGGAGTTGGAAAGGACCTTGGAGATTAAGCTCAACTCTTTCATTTTATAAATGAGGAGCTGAGGCCTGGAAAGTCTGGTGAGTTATATCAAGTCACAGAGGTGGGAAAACTCCATGGAAGTTCCTGACCACTCCACATTTCAGTAATCTCCCTTCAGAAATCCCTGCTCTCTTTGAACATTGCAAAAATTACTCCTTTGTTCTGATCCTAGGGTACAGTCTACATTAGTACATGCCAGATTTCCGTTGCTGGTGTCCCAAGAAAGGAAAAAAAAAATTATAACTCATTCACCATTAATTACTTTATATTTCTAGGTTCTGTCCAAAATAGTGACATGCTACTGTTTTCTTTTATAGTTGATAGTAGAATGCTATTTTCATATCACGTGCTAAATGTTTCATAAATGTTGCTTATTTAATGAGCAACATGAATGGCAAATATATTTCTTCATAACAGAAAGCAGTAAAATGAAACTTTAAAAAGTCTCTATAATTAAAGTTTCCCAAATCTGCTCTCCCACGAATTATACCTTTGATTTGGATACCATCACTTTTAAACAAAAATCTACAAAGGCTATTGTTAAGGAAACAGATAAAGAGATGCAGAGAGCCTGAGAAGACTTAATGTTTCTGGACTTTCTCTGCTGCCCCATTCTCCCAGAACCTCCACAAAGCTCTACAGATAGTCTTATTTATTTCCATAAAATAAACTTGCATGTACCCCAGTATAAAAGTACACATTTCATGGCATCCTACTATTGAGTTTAGTCAAACAAGATTAAGTGCCTTATCAAATGCTCACGGTGATTTAAAAATCATGTGACTTTCCATGATTTACAGCTTATAGGAAACTTGTCGCTCACTTTTTTTAAAGGCACATCTTATGTAATTTAAAATAATGTAGGCTTTGTTTTAATATGGTTTTGGACATTAAGAAAGCATTAGTGTTTTACTAATCTCTTCGAAGACTCAGGTTACCTCGACAGAGTTTTTTTTTACAATGTCCTGAATCAAACTAGACAGTATAAGGACGCAAGAAAAGTAGCATCAAAGTGGACTTTTATCATTTATAATATTTGTGTAACACTCGTAACACAGCAAGGATTTTCTGTAACCTGTATCACATGTCTCCTTATTTAATTTTTCCAAAAAATCAAGGACTACACGAATATTCCTTTCCTAAAAGATGCAACATTTAAGGATCTGAACCATTAAATAGTTAGCTCAAGATCAAATAGCAGAATGTAAGCCTGACATGCTTAATCACCTGCTACATCTGGATTGGTTTTGTGCAGGACTGTAAACTGTGAGAAAGGGAAGGCACAGAGAATTTCAAAAGAATGGGGAATGGAAAAATCTTAAAAGTGGAGATGAAAATAATTTGATGGGTAAGAGTCAACGAAACTTTCCCAAGGATGTCTCAGGTGACAAAACTCTGTGAAAACAGGGTATCATTTACTATTGGAAAATCTGTGTCCTCTCCTGCCTTTTGGAGTTGCATGCACCGAACTGACACATTAACCAAATGTACCTGGAACAGCAATAGTTGGAATGACAGAGAACATTATTTTAAAACATACTTCCAATCTTTACCAAAACAAAACCCCCCAAAATACAGAAATAACCTTTCCTTTGCAATCCTTTAAAAAAATGTGTCTAGAATTAGAAATGGTCCAAAATCTTCATAAACATTACTATATTCTATTCAGGTCCACAGCTCCTCCCACAACCAACCGTACACAAAATCACCAAAACACCAACCACAATCTAACGGCAACCACTCGAAACTTGGATCACTGTAATTACCTTTTCTAGAGATGGTTAATGGGGCATAGAGCATCGAGGCCAGATGAAAAGCAAGGAGCTACTACAAACTTTTCTTTCTCTTTCTGTGATTTAGGAAACATGCAGTGTACTAGAGAATCAATTGTGATAGGGAATATTCACTTTTCTTCATCCACAAGCCCCGGATATGCCCTAAAACGGTTCTCTCTTATCTTCAAAAGTAGAAAAGAAAGTGCTAATATATCCTAAAGAGGGAGGCACCCAACAAATTCGCACCAAAAAGGGCGCAGTAGAATTCCATGTTGGGTACCGGAAATAGATCAGAATTAGTGGAAGTGGGGAAGCTCCGAAGGAAGGCGGGGACGCGGAGGGGATGCGCGGTGGGGCGCAAGGCAGCGGGCTACGCTGCGGGTGAGGGTTCGGGCTGCCCAGGCAGGAGTTCGAACACCGACTGCGGAGGGTCCAGCTCTTACCTCGCAGCCCGCGAACCAGCCTCTCGGCCCAGGCCACTCGGGGATGCTGCCCGTCCAGCGGGAGGCGGCGATGCAGCGGGTCCCCGCCGCCGGCCGGGCTGGGACCCGGCGGGCCCTGGTCCTCTCGCCGGCGCCGCCTCCCGCTCGGGTGGCCCGCGCCGTGGTAGCTCCCCAGCCCCCGGCCGCGGGCGCCCGCGGCGCTCACAGCCGAGGAGGAGGCCGACCTCCGGCTGCCCGGGCGCCACTCTACGTCCATCTCCACCACCATTCCTCCTTCTTCCCCTTCCACCTCCTCTTCGTCGTCGTCCTCCTCCGCCTCAAAGCCCGGGTTATCGCGGCTCCACGCCTGGCGGGAGCAAGACGAGAGCGGAGGCGAGGGGGAGGCCGAAGCCCCGGCCGGGGGATCCCGCGAGGTGGCCTGCCGGATGCGCTCCATCTCGATCTCCAGGCCCCGCTGCTCGCGGAGACCGCCCCGGACTGCCAGGCCGGCGCCTCCCGCCAGCAGCCGGCCCGGGCCCGGGGCTCGCGGCGCTGGCGAGCGCCTGGCGTCCCCGGGCTGCTGCGGCTGCACGCGGCTGGAGTTCACCATCGCGGTCACTGGCGCCCGGAGCGTCCCAGAGCGGCGCAGCCCCCCACGCTGCCGGCTGTAGGAGCCATGTTCCTTCGTTCCCCGGGTCCACCGCCCGCCCAGCGCGCCCGCCCCCTCGGCCCGCCTCCCCTCGCCTCGCCTCGCCCAGCGCCCAGGCCCGCGTTCCAAGGGCAGCCGGAGCCGAGGCGGGCGCCCACATTCCTTTCGGGTGCAAGGCTCGCCAAAACAGGGCGTGGTAGGCCCGCCAGCTCCTCTGGGAATGGAACCTGGGGATGTCGCTGCCTGACCTCCAGACAGCGGTTGGGCCCTGGTTGCCACTCTGCCTCCATTTACCAAAGCGCAGAAAGAGAAAGAAAGGCTGAGACACTCTCGTGGGATGGTGCAAAGTGGTAAAATCCAGCCAGAACTGAAGTTTCCAGGATGATCAAAGAAGCCTTCTTTTCATTTTAAAACCAGGAACTAAATGGGCATGGTGGCACGTGCCTTCAGTCAGAGTACTTAGAAGGCAGAAGCAGGCAGATCTCTGTGATACCAAAGCTAGCCTGGTCTACATAGCGGGTTCCAGGCTCAGTCTCAAAACAAACAAAAAACAAACAACAGGAAGAACAAAACCCCAGGAACAAAGCACTAGGGCCGCCTTGCGTTGCATTTGGCATCTTTCCACACCATGATTCTGCTGTTTATTGGGTGGTTTCTTCAGCCTCCTTTCTCCAAACACCTTGAAGATTCCAAGGACTGGGCTTCGGGACTCTGGGGTCGCTGATCCTTCCACCGTTATCATATTTCTGCTCCTGCCCAGCGGTGGTTTATGTTTAATGAATCCTGCTGCAGTTTTACATCTAGAACTTCATTTCCCCCAGGCTGGCCTACTCCAAACTCAATTTTCTACCTTTCCCCCACCTCTTTTAAACCTCGTATTTCAGGTTGAGATTTGTGCCTCTCTGCCCACCTCACTTCCCAGGCTATTAGAATATTCTCTCTGCCTGCCCTTCAACTCCTGTACTTCCCCATGCTTCCACCCGCAATGGTAATCTTTGCTTTTTATTCCCACTAACTTCATTGTCAGTCTACACTGGAACAAGTGATTTTGTCAGTTCTACCTGTGTTCTCCCATCCCACTTCTAACCAGGCCCCATCCTACTTGGCTTCAGAGATAAGACCAAGTTGGAAGCCTTCAAGCTTTGTATGGCCCTTCTGTTTTCCATGTCCCAGCTGCTCCCAAGTTAGAGGACCAGAGTTATTGTTGATGCTTAGAGAAGTCTATGGAATTCCAGCTTAAAAGAGAACATTTAATTGCTACAGTTTAGTAAATGTGAATGATTTGATCCTGCATTAGTTTGGTAGGCCTGACATAACATGATATATCAGGTAGGTTCAACAATAGAAATATGTTTTCTCAAAAGAAGGTGGTTGGTCTCTTCTGAGGCCTCCTTGACTTGCACATGGTTCATTTGTCTGTGTCTCCCCTCAGAACTTTGTTCTTCTTATAAAGACACCAATCATAGTGGTTTAGAGACTACCCTAATGATCTAAGTGTAATTGCCTTTAGAAAGACCTATCACCAAGTATAAACATATTCTAAGATTCTAGGGTTTAGGACTTCAACATGAGAATTTTGCGGAGGACACAATTCAGCTATAATGGCTCCTAAGCCACGACTCTAGCATGGTCTCCCTACCACACATCTATCTGTGCAGCATTATTTGTTGATCCCATGTATATTTCCTGTTCAGCAAATTAGGAGCTGTGAAAAATCAAGCAGAGTGTGATAAAGACCTCGGCCTCAAGAAAAGACAGATCAAACAAAGAAAAATGAAAATTTTCCCTTGAGTAGAGGTTAGGATACCTGTCTTAGAAGAGGTCTCCAAATGCAGTACTCTGAGCAACGCTACCCACACTGCTCTGACAAAAAACATTCTTGGCAGGCATCTAGTCAGAGGAAAGCCAGGTATGAAAAGAAAGCATGGAATCTGAACTGGAAAATATTTATACTGTAATGATTTTAAACTATGACCTAAAGAAGAAAGGTAGCATCCTTTGGATTCTTAAAAATATAAATCTCAGGTCCCCTACTTCAATCTTAAAAATTCAGAAATTCTAGGACTTCTTCACTGAAATTATGAATTGTTTTAGAGGATTCCGGGCACCTTAAGTTTGTAAAGCAGCAGTTTGTTTTGGATGGGAGAGCTCTCATAAACATTCCCATAGTCCTGCGCTTCTTTATCACCAGTGATGACATCATCTAAAATCTCACACCTACAAGAAACCAGTGGTGCTTGAGTCTGGCTATGTCTTCTTTACAGTAATTTACTGCCAGGACCTTCGAGGCAGACTACATGACCTAGGGCAAGTTATTTCACTTGTGCTTGTGAAAATGGAAATTAAGACAATGCCCACCTTACAGTGCTGTGGAAAAAAATAAAATAAAATAAAATAAGGCTAAGTCATGCATAGCTGAGGAAGGGGAGGTAGAAAGATTCTAAGAGCCAGAGGCAGTGGATGGCTACAATGAGATAGTGTTTTCCAGGTACAAATGTCAGCTGCACATATGAACTCTCAGCACTTATGACAGCATGCACAAGACCTGTGAAAACTCAACTGGACAAAATCTCAGCACAGAGAAGGGAGGTGGGCACAAAGCCCCAGTCCTAGCTGAGGAAGTTTTGGCAATTGATAACTGTTGGGAGACAAAGAATCAGTTTTCTTTAAGGGTTTGACCCCTGGTAAGGTTGACCAGCTCCAGTGGATGGACCAATTTGGGCAATACAAACTGAACTCAATGAGATAGAGAGATGACAGATGATAGATAGATGATAGATAGATGATAGATAGATAGATAGATGATAGATAGATGATAGATGATAGATAGATAATAGATGATAGAGAATGACAGATGATAGATAGATAGATAGATAAATAGATAGATAAGATAGATAGATAGATAGATAATAGATGATAGGTGATAGATGATAGATAGATGATAGTTAATAGATAGATGATAGAATATAAAGTTGAATGGGTTGGGAAGTGGGGTTGTATAGTAGTCACTTTTCTTTTGCTGTGATAAAACACCATGACCAGAAGCAACTTAAAGAAGAGTTTATTTTGGCTTATGGTTTCAGAAGGAGAGTCCATAATGGCAGGGGAGGCATGGCAACAGGTGACCAGAGCAGGAAGCTAAGAGATCACACCTTCAACCACAAACACAAAGCAGAGAAAGGGAACTGGAAGTGGGGTGAGGCAATAAGCTCTCAAAGCCTACCCCCAGTGACTTGCTTCCTCCAGCGTGGCCTTACTCTAAGACCCCAAACAGTGCCTCCAACTAGGGACCAAGTGTTCATGTACCTGAGCCTATGGGGAACATTTCTCATTCAAAGAACCACAGGGCAGATCTGGGAAGAGATGGAAGAGGGGTGTTAATATGATCAAAATATATTGTATGAAATTCTCAAAGAATTAATACAAATATTATTTGCATTTAAAAAAAAAAAAAAACCTTTTTTACGTATAGTGAAGTTAACCTTAAACTCACAATCTTCCTCCTTTAGCCCTTTGAATGCCAGAATTATGGACACCCAAGACCATGCTGATCTCTCTTTTTAAAGTATTTTATTATTTTTATTTTACATATATAAGCATATTGCCTTCATGTGTGTAAGTGCACCTATGTCATGCAATGCCTGCAGGGGCCAGAAGAAGGTGTCATATCCCCTGGAACTGGAGTTTCAGTAGGTTGTTAGCTGCCATGTGTGTGCTGGGAACCAAACCTTGGTCCCCTGCAAGAGCAGCCAGTGCTCTTAAACACTGAGCCATCTCTCCAGCCCTGATCTCTTTTTTTTAGTTTCAAAAGAATATAAGTGAATTCTCATAAGTTATAATCAAAACATCTGAATCATAAATCAAAGATTTTGAGCATAAAAAAATTAGATGAATTAAAACAAGTTTCTTAGACCATCTGTTCAGGCTCTTATAAGAAATACAACAGGTGGTTATAAGCAACATTTATTTCTCCCTCTCTAGAAACTGTGAATTTCAGGACCATGGTGCCAGCAGATGTGTCTGTTGAAGGTCTACTTTCTCTGATTTTGATGACATCTTCTAGCTGTCTCTTCATGTGGTAAAAGGAACAAAAGAGCTCTATAGGATTTGGTTCTGAAATGTCCTTCAGAGGTTTAAAGGCTCAGTCACTAGCCTGTGATCCTGTTGAAGAGTGGTCTTTGTGAGACAGGAGCCTAGTAAAAGTTTGATTAGCAGGGGCATACTTTCTCTTGAAGGGAATATTGGGGTCCAGGGGTCCAGGTCTTTCCTCCCTGTCTTCCCTTCCTCTCCTCTTCTGCCCACCTTCCAGTCACCATGAGCAACATTGCCCCCCACCCCCCACCCCCCATCCCCTGGTGTAACTTCCAATGATGTTCTCACAGATCTTTCAGGAACAGAGCCAAGAGACTACGGTTTGAATCTTATGTAACTATGAGCCAAAACAATCTTTTCATTCTTTTGACTTGTTTTAACTCAGGTATTCTGTTGCAGCGATGGAAAATTAACCAACAAAGCTCTCTTTGGCCTTTTAAAAAATGTGTATGTTTTGCTTGCATGTATGGAATGCACTCACATATGTTTAATTCTCATGGAGACCAGAAGAGGACTTTGGATCCCCTGGAACTGGAGTAATGGATAGTTGTTAGCCACCAGGTGGGTACTGAGAACTGAACACAGGTCCTTTGCAAGAGCTCCCAGTGCTCTTAACCACTGAGCCATCTCTCTAACCCATTTTTGGCCTTTTAAATAAGCACACTAATCACTTCCATGAGAACTGCATCCCTATGACCTAATCCCCTACCAAAGGCTCTACTTCCTCATACCATCACTGAGGTAGGCTTTCAATGCATGGATTTTGGGAGCATAAACATTCAGATTATAACATATTGGAACACTGCCTTGTACATGGTAAATTCCAAGTAGTGTTAAAGCTGTACTAATTCATAGGCCGTAATGATAATAATTATTTTGCTCTACTATAATTACTTAGTCATCTTTTGCTCTACTATAATTACTTTAGTCACCTTTTCCCCAGCTAGACTATATGCTTACTGAGGCCAGGGACTCTAACACAAACACA